AATTCAACAAACGTATCAGTCTTAGACAACAAATTACATAATGATTAATAATAGTAAACTTAAAATTTCAATTCAACAAACGTATCAGTCTTAGAAAACAAATTACATAATGATTAATAATAGTAACTTAAAATTCCAATTAAACAATGTAGTCATCATGCCACACAGGTGGCCTTCTCACCCTGCCAGCCTTTCCTTGAACTGAGTCAGACGTCTCTTCAACTTCCTTCATCTGCTCATCTTCCTTGTATGTACGCCATGATTTTAACTGGGATACATGCGCCGTTGTCGCAAATCTACTGTTTTTTGTCTGGTTCAATTCTGCAACACGGTAGACATCTCCCGGTAGCACTTCAATGACAACTAGCGGTCCTCTGTAGCGGTCCTGTAACTTTGTAGACTCCCCAGTAACCGTGGGAACCCTTTTCATGACCACTACTTCTCCATCGTTATAATGGGTGTTGTCATGCCTGTGCCTATCATACCTGGCCTTGTCCTTATCCTTCTTCTTCTCTAGTTGTTCACGAACAGCTTCACGTACCTCTTCAGGAGGCTCCCAATTATCCGCAGTTTTCGACAATACCCTCAGAACACCCTGGCGGAACCGAGGACGATATCCGTGGAGCATCTCGAACGGTGTCCTCGTAGTGACTTTACTTTCGCTATTGTTGATGGAGTTCTGTACCTCAGTCAGAATCTCGTCCCAATCCTTGCCTTCTTCAGCGCACGTCATTAATGCAGCCATAAGTACACTATGGCTCCGCTCAACCTGTTCATTTGCCTGTGGGTGGCGCGTGGAAGTCAATATGTGGCTGATCCCTTGACCATCACAATATTCTTCAAATACTCGAGCAGTGAAGCACGTYCCTCTATCAGAAATTAACCTTCGAGGTAATCCATAAGCGTTCAAAAATTTCTTGACGCACTGTRGCGTCTCATCAGCGCTYGTACTAGCTACAGGGTAAAAATTTGCATATTTAGTAAAGTTGTCTACAAAAGTTACCACATACTTGAAACCGTTTGAAGTGGTAACCAACGGGCCCACGTGATCAAGGTGTACGGTGTCAAATGGTCTTTTCCCCACAGCAATAGGATGCAATAGACCTGGCTGTTTGCCTCTTGGTCCCTTCACCATCAAACATTCGAAGCACATCTTGATGTGAAATGCAACATACCTCCGCATCTTAACGAACCAAAAGTCCTCCAATRTTTTAGCAACCGTACGGTCCACAGCAGGGTGCCCTTCCAGATTATGTGCAGCAACCACCAACCCTTTGCGCATAGCTCTTGGCATCACAAACAATAACTTCCCATTAACTCGTCTGTACAGCAGTCCGTTCTCCAGAGCAAAACTTTTGTCAACCAAGTTGTAGTCGACTGGATCAGCATTTAGTCTCTGAATAATAATCGACACCTCTTGATCAGCCGCTTGGCACATCCGCACCTTATCTTCAATGGTCAGTAATACACAGACGTCCCATCTATCCTCCAACTCCACGTCGAAGGGAAGTTCTTTATTACCGGTAGGGCTTACTGGACAAGGCATCTACATGACACATCCGAATTCCCAGGTCGATATTTGATTGTAAAATCGTATTCTTGCAACACATCGTGCCAGCGGGCTACTTGCACGTTTGTCGCCTTGAACGAGTTCAGATACACTAGCGCCTGGCAGTCCGTGTAAACCCCAAGAGGAATTGACGTAACTTACCCATTGCCCACACCACGCACATCAATTCCAATTTGCTGCAATGGTACTTGGATTCAGATTCACWGGTTTTCTTACTTATACAATAAACTAACTTAAGCGAATCGCCAGTCTTCTTGGACGCAACTTTATATTCCGGAACGAGGCACATTGGATCCGAAAATGACAATACAGTTGGAGAGGTATCGTTGCCCAGTTTTGCGATCGCTATGACCCGAGAAGAGATAGATCAGAGATACGATGAAGGAAGACGCAGACGAGAGGAGAGGGAGAGCGGGAAGTTTTCGACGCCCATCAAGTCGAAGATTTCTCTATCGGCTCCATCGTTTAGCTCGTGCAAAAGAACGGAGCCCACAAAAGATTGGAGGAAGAACGCTGATTTATCTGGTGCTAAAAGATACGAGAGTGAGAATTCAGAATCAATAGCGAACAAAATCTCGAATATGACAATAGACACGTCAAGCGACGGCTCTCACGACGAGGATGAAGTTGATGAAAAAGAATTAGAACGTCATAGGAAATTGATTAAAGATGCGTCCATCGAATGTTCATCCTTGTTCTGATTCCGCCTACGCAACGCGTCCCAACGATCAGACATGCGTACAGCGCGTATAAACGTCGCATTAAATTGTGTTCTGAAATCCTGCCAATTCTGAAACGTACGGCCTACGAACCAATCTCTGGCTGCACCTTGTACGTTTGCACGTACAAACTGTAATCGATATGCGAACGGCCAACAATTTAAATCAGCCACACCTTCGACTGATGTAAGCCAGTTGGCGGCCGCATGTGTCGATTCGCGACCGTTGAACACTCCTACCGTTTTGTCCAGGTCTGGTAAAACACGGAAATCCAACGCGGGTTGGCGCGTACTTAACTCTGATACCGATCGATTTTGTTCATGGTTATTCGYGTCCCCGTCGTCAGACTTGTTGGACAATAATCTCGCCTGCAATTTATCAATGAGCGCGATAAGTTCATCGTCGCCGTCGCTCGACATATCGAACGATAGCGTCTATCACGACTGTTATCACTAATCAATAACAACAACACGGCGCT